AAAATAAAACCCAGCAAAACAAGATTTATAACCATGACAATATATCATGTACGGAATTCGAATAATTTATAAATTAGCTGAATTTAAAAAAAAAATCATTTCACTCCAAGCAAGGCGATAATGCCACTAAGACGCAAGAGGTTTCTGGGAATGAAATAAAATAAGAAGACATTAGCGAGGAGAAAGGGCAATAAAAGATACAAGATGGCGATTAACGTTGCATTTAAATTTTTGAAGATTGTAGGTCGCAGGGAAGTAAGAAGCTGGAGGAGACTTCCACAAGACTATTAGAATAGCACTTATGTTTAAATCTAACAATTTCAGTAGTAAAATAATGAGACCTAATTACCAATCTAGTAGTACGTTTAAATTCATGCTGTCAAGGTACCAAGGAGGAAAGCTCAGAACAATTGCCATGAATATAAGATACAAGGAAGCTTCGTCGCGGCGAGGGGAAGTGAGTGAAGTCGAAATGCCAGGTCAGAACCGATAACATTGCAGATCCTTTTAATTTTGTCGAGGATCTCGATATATGGCAGGAGCATCAGTGTTTAAGAAAATGATGAGGTTTTTGAATAAAAACTGTTTTTGATTATTTTTTTATCAAATCCAAAAAAAAAAAAAAAAAAAAAAAATCCTTTTTTGTCTTTAACGAGTAACTCCATTTGTCATAATTATCGTCTTCAGTGTTACGAAACAGAATTTAACACCAGGACATATTGAAGGAAGGAGGTGAGAAAAAGCTAGTAACAGATAATAAAACAAGAAGTTGAGGAGAGCCATGATTAGCTATGCCCTGAAATGACATAAACCGATTCCTTAAAAACAAAGAGTGTTGAGCTGCTATGTAATCAACTTTATGGTTATAAATGTTGGACATTTTCCTTATTACAGATGGATAGTGTGAATATAATGGACGGAACATGTAAACAATAAGGAAGAATTAAGTAAAAAAAAAAAAAAAAAAAAGAATAGCAAATACACCTAGAATAAGAAAAAGTATCTGAGATACGTAATGAGGAAAGATGGTCCAGCGAATCTAACACTCAGAGCATAGTGAAGGCAAGAGAAGTAAATGGGGATAGCGAGTGACCTATTTTACGTGTTTGTATGGCTGGGTGACAGACTAAGGAGAAAGAAAGATGGTAATGGTTAAAAGCATTTACTGACAATAACAGAAGATCGGAAACAGTGGGGAGTCATAATCGCCCACCTCCTGAAAGGACTTAGCGCCTAAAAGAAAGCGTTACAAAACGGAATTTATTTGGTAACGCGAAATATAATACTTCGCGAAACAGCTAAAAATAATTCTTCGCGTTTTCATTTAGAGCTTTGTGTATAAAATCACAAAATGGTCTTGGCGAATAGATAAAGTTAGCCATGAAAATATAAATGCCGTCCCGTGAGAAGTTGACGAATCTTTTGAGATTTCCCGTTCATTGCTTGAAGGAAGAAAGCAGAAAATAGCAAAGTAGCCTGGAACGCGCCAGTTCCCACACGGCGAAAGATCAAGAGAATAAAAACAGTGTGTAGGTAGTCACCAACGATATTTAGTTTAGCATTGAACTAAAAGCTGCAACAGAAAATCGAATCGTTTCGTGATCTATTTTCTAGAGATCCCGGGCCAACATCCAGGTATAATAAATAATCATTACACCAGGTATTCATGTTGTGAAATCTAAATTCAATATTCAGGTGAGGGTATCGTACGCCATTGATCAAGAAAAGCGACCGGGTCTCCAACACGGAAAAAGTACGAATAAACAACATGAACGCAGAGAGTTAAGACTCCTGGCGTTTATTCTGCGTTCAGTGTTTCTCAAACATACAGTGAAGAAACGAGGAAATATCAAGAAAGATTACCCGTTCTCGTCTTTTTTATGTGCCATCTCAATGCATTTAACCACAATACTTAAACATTCTTCATATATACTGTGTTTCTTTGGGCACCTCGAGGCGGCGTAATGGTTAGCAAGATTGTCTCGCTAGAACAATTACGACTGAGAAGCGAGTTCGATCCTCACTGTGTGCCCCATACTTTCGGCCTTGTGCCACATCTCAGCTACACTTGGAAAATCACTATATACTGTGTTCTTTCAGAAAGTAGGCGATCATGGTTATCCACTACTTCCTATTTTGAAAAGTTTTAAGATTTCCTTACAACACCTCTTTGCTCTTGTTCTGTCATCCATTTCCTCAATCCAAGCACCTTTACTAGTTTATCCACTGTTTCTCCCTGCTTTTCTTGACGTCACTATATCTTGTGAGTTTTAAATTTTCCAGGTTTTCTTTTCTCGTTATATGTCCAAATCTTCTCTTTTTCAAGTTATAAGTTTCCTTGTATTTTTGTCTGAATCTCTGGGATGAGGAGTTATTTACAGTATTTATACACGGACCATTGTCCTCATCTTTGTTGTTCTTATCACAACATTTTGGCCACTGTGCCTTCCTTAGGTGTATATCGATCTGGGTAACTTACAGGGAATTCCGAACTGAACACTTTATTTAATATACGGGTTAGACTTTTCGTTCCATAGCTTAGTGGGTAAAATCGTTGGTTTATGAATTTGGTGACATTATGAGTTCAATCTCCGAGTTGGGCAGTGTATAAGTGGACACAGGCGAGCAATAACTGAACAGTACTGAATAAAACAAGAACTAGACGATACTCCTAGACATGAACAGTGGAACGAGAACTTACCCCGGTAAATCCGTAAACTATAATAATAGTGCACATATATATATATATATATATATAATATTAGTGGAATATTAGCGTTTAAGCCTTTTTATTATATATATATATATAAAATATATATATAATATTAGTGGAATATTAGCGTTTAAGCCTTTTTAATATATATATATATACATATATATATATATATATATATATATATATATACATACATATATATCAAAAGAAAATATTTTGCCAAACAATCTATGTACATGTGTTATATGGCGAACGAATTTTTTTCCGTGTGAGTTCGAATCCTAGTCGCCAAGCGTTGTAGAGTAGTTTCAGTGGAGGCTTGTATTTGTCGGTCCTAAAATAGGTTCGACGTACAAAACGTTAGGAACTTGATATAATAGGTAATGACGCAGAGAAATCTAGTTGTGGTCGCTGATACTCTTAGTATCCGACTAACGGTCGTCCGGCATCGACTGGCGATATTTAGTCCCCCCCCCCCACGAGGGCATCATTAGGCACAAGGCCGGTTTAACGTGGGATCTCCGAGCCCGTGGGCTCGGCCAAAAATATGCCCATTGAACCCGTATAAACGGGTTCAGGGTTGGTTTACCTCCCCGAACGAGAATCCGCCCTTCGGCGTAACCTCCTTTGGGTTCCTCCCCGCCCGAAGGCAGAGAGTTCAACCGATCAGCCAGTCGACTGACTGACCGACCCACTGAGCGACTCCTACTTATTATAAGTGGGAGAGTCTATTAACTATAGAATAGGTGTGTTCCACTATAACAACATGATAAATAGGTAAAGAAAATTCAGAGTCTCATATTGCATATCCGTGCGTGCATCTATCTCCACTTGTGTCTGCATGTCTACCCAACTGTCTGTTCATTATCTAAATACCTACCTACGTGATGTAATAGAATAACCTGTCACCCCCATGAGGGACAACACTATAGGTAGTAACTACCTATAAGTGTCTGTAAGTCAACGGACTACAGAGACTTGCTGTTATTCAGATCTTAGCTGCTGTCGAACTCTCTGCCTTCGGGCAGAGAGGAACGCGGATGAGTCTCGTTCGGGGAGGTAGACAGACACGAACACGTTTATGCGGGGTTTACGGGGAATTTTTTGCCGAGCCTACGGGCTCGGATTGCCCAACATTAAACTCGGTCTTGTGCCACGTCCTTCCTTGTAGGGAGGCAGGTAAATACCGACTATCTGGGACTCAGACTTACGTGAGAACTACCGACCTTCCAATAGCAGCACTCACTACTGGATTGACTTGTGACGACCTTGTGCATAAGTGTTACCTTATTTCTTATTGTACTGGTTTTGTACAATAAACCGTTACGTATTTTATCCACCTTGTTTTTGAAGTATATATTGCTATTAGCATGGAATATAACACTATGTAAATTTGTTATGAATTTCTAGGAATTTAAAAAATGTAAATGATTATAATGGAAAATTTTTAATTAACCTGATAATGATGAAGGGACAATAAACAGAATCACTTGTAAATGGCAGATTGTAAAATTGAAAAGAAGCTAAGAAAAAAAAATATCAATATCAAATCAAGCAATTCTGATACTATAAAAAAAAAAAATTAAGAGACCGCTGTCTTTATTTGAACTGCAACACTGGTCACGACATTAAAATTCAAACAGTGCTATCGTTTATCCCGGCCGGGATGCTCAGAATATGTGAGCAGCCCACGGGAATTCTGACGTTTACCCTCCAGCCAGGCAAACCGAGAAATAATGAAGATAACAGTGCAAATAGCAAAATAGGAAACAAGATTTTGATAGGTGGCTAAAGTAGTTGCGTACTTCTCACTTGGCGCCAGATGTTATCGTCTGAAACCAGAACAATATCTCAAATTTTGCTTTTAAATCAATATTCAAAATACTGACTTTTCTCAAGCAAGATCTTCGATTTCTAGCATTCGGAAATTCTCTTGGTCATAAAGCTGTAGGCTAATAGAACACAGAAATAAACAAGCCTCGACGAAAAGAAAGATTATGCTGTGACTCAATAGATCCACGCTCAAATGGCTTAGGTCAAGTAGACTGTAATTTAAAAAAATTTTTTTTTTTTTTTTTACAGACCGGAATTATATGATTACCCACTGCGTTGCCAGTAAAATCGAGATGAGAGACCTTCAAAGTAACCAAAATCTGTCTCGAATCAGGAAAGAAAAAAAATGTGAGGTGACACTTAGGTGGAAGGTAGGATATTGCAGTCATTCGCCGAGTAAGAGAGAGAGTGAGGAAAAGAAAATCATGGAAGCACTCATAGGAAGTGGTAATCATAGGAAGAGATTGGCAGTAGGAGAAAGTCGATAGTCAGAGACACGAGAGTAAGACAGAGCGAGACGCGGAGTTATTTCACAGTTAGTGACTTCATTGAACCTTCCCCAGTGTTTATTCACAACCGTGCAGTCGATACAAAAAACAAAAACCAAAAAGAACAAAAACAAAACCCCCAAAGAATACAAAAGAAATAAAAGAAACACAAACAAAACACAGCAAAAAAAAAAACCAAAGAAAAAACAAAAAACAGCAAAAAAAAGAAAAAACAAAAAAAAAAACAAAGAAAAAACAAACAACAAAAAATCAAAAGAAAAACAAACAACAAAAGAAAAACAAACAAAAACAAACAAAAAACAAAAGAAAAACAAAAAACAACAAAAGAAAAACAAAAGAAAAACAAAAAACAACAAAAGAAAAAAAACAAAAACAAAAACAAACAAAAAAAATAAACAAAAACAAAGAAAAACAAACAAAAAACAACAAAAAAAGAAAAACAAACAAAAAAGAAAAACAAAAGACAACAAAGAAAAAACAACCACAAAAGAAAAAAGAAAACAACAAAAAAGAAAACAAAAAAGAAAAACAAAAAACAAGACAAAAAAGAGAAAAAAAAAGAAAAAGAAAAAACAAAGAAAACAAAAAAGAAAACAAAAAGAAAACAAAAAAGAAAAAGTAAACAACAAAGCAAACAAAACAAAAAATATAAAACAAATATCAAAACAAAAGGAAAAAACTGAGAGCCGCAGTTGTATGTATTCAATGTTCGCCATTGCTGATAAATCAGCGTCAAGAAAACATCCATATATTTTCAATGCTTTTAACAGAATGCAATATTGCTTGAAAAAAAAAAATGGTCTTTTTAAGGTTCTGCGCAAATGAATAAGAAACAGGCCTATGAATAGATTCAGGTGAAAGAAATCTTGCCCAGCAGCTGAGCTAGTTGCCTATTTGATATTCCCATTAACGACAGTGATCGACGAAAGGTCAAGATTTTGACTGCTGTATTAAACGATTGGCGAGTAATTTTCCTTTAACTACGTACCAAGTTAGGTTAAGGTTCGTAAACATTTACATAACGAAGCAGTTATTTAACAAGATTTAATTAGTATTTCAAGGGATTCAGATGCTACATAATTTTCTAACTATAAAAAAAATAAGTTATACTTAGTATTTGTATTGTGAGAAATAATTACTCTCTAGCTTTTAAAATCAGAAAAGAATAATTTTACTACAGTCATTTTTGTACACTACTCCCATGTACACGTGTGACCCACACATTAAAAAAAATAACGCATTGTGTGTTCTGTTAAATTTGTTGATATAGCGTAGTCTTACCCTCTTATTACAAATTTATCCATGGCAAGTAGCGTAGTTTAAAATTTGAAAATAGTGCACAGAGTTATATAACACTATATAATTTTGTATAATTTTTTGTATCAACAAACCATTCTTGGTAAATTTTATATTGTTAGTGTGGGATATAGAGAGGGACGAAGGTGGTGAAAAGAAAAATAATGAAGATGAATTTGGCTAGATTGAGAGAAAAAAATTGAAACGACCTGTGTCTCTCATTTCGTGGGCATGTGTAGACGTGGCAACGTCGACAAAGCCCAGTCCGATGAAATCCTAACAGATGAAACGCGTCACAAAAAGAAAAAAAGAAAAGAAAAAGACTTTATGGGACCATGTCGGCTCGTCTCGCTCCCGAAAAACTCGTGCTTATTGGGATGGTGTTTCTTACGCTGCTGGTCACGGCTCGAATGGTGATTTGGACGACGCGAATGGAGGAAGTCTTGCGAAGCAATCGTCTTTCTTATCAGGATCTGATCCGATTTTTTGAGCATCAGCTCAAGATGAAGATTAGAACTGATAGAAAACTCTTGCATTCGACAGTCTTCAGCGAAAGGTGGGTGACTGAAGCGAGCTTGGTTCGTTTGAACGGGGCTAGCTTTGATTTTCTCTTCTAAGTCAACCTTCGTCACATCAGGGCGGTTTCCTGTGAAGCCCTCCCCTTGGTTAGGTTAGACAGGTTAGTTTGTGTACCTAGTTAATGTAAGTGTTGTTCCTGGTCTGTTCCCGGCTGCCACTTTGATTATGATCAAAGTCGAGATTTCCAACCTCCTCAGTTTGTTCTTGGCCCACTTTTCATCTCGACCGGGTCAGCTTTTTATTCCCCATGTCCGTCTATATTTTCACATTTCCCACTCCCTCAGTGAGAGAGCGTCTTGATTTTTTCCAATGAGTAGAATACAGCGGCCTTTCTGTTTTTAGGGTTGGACGGGCCCTACTAACATCACTTATGCTTAGTTGATTTTGTGTTTATGTTTAGGTTGTTTTGGGGTTCCAATCCCTCCCCTTTCATTTTTCATCATAGATTTTTTGTAGGACCCCCTTGTGAGGATGCGGTATTATGGTATATGTGGAATTGATTGGTGACGGACGAGTTTTTGTGGCGAATAGTCAAATTGTAATGAGTGAATGGGTCGTGAATCGGATTAGCTAGGTATAAGATAGTTAGTTAATCCCTCCTCATTCTGACCTTGTGCCTAATTGTGTATTTTTCACAATAAATATCGACAGTCGAGACGCAGTGTAAACTGACAGTTTGGACGGACACTTCTATCTACTGAGTAATTACACTCTTACTTTGTATATATGTTCTGTTATTTCAATACACTTGTTTAACCTACCTTTTTCTTCCCGTGTCTTTCTTTCTGGCTCCTAACTGGCCACAACAATAATGTTATGAATTGAATGGTCTGTATAAAGTATTTTTTTAACCATTTCATCCCTGGCAATGTAGTAAAGCCCCTAACGAAAGGGAATCAGTGAGTGTGAAAGAAAAATAAAAATGAAGAATTAAGGAGTGAAAACAATGAAAGACAGACGGTAACGATCGAAATTAGATTTACATTTTTGAAAATCAAAGCTGGCTGGAAAGCATGAAGCCGTAATACAGGCGAGTAAAGAAACTTTTAGTAAAGAATTTGCGGCTACATTTAAGCCAATTCAACTGTAAAATGATGAAACCTTGTCACTACGGAAAGTGAAATCTGCGAAAAGGAGGAGATCGTTTGTATTCACTCCTCAGTAATTCTTTTGGAGAAAGGCATGAAACCATTCATCACAAGGCAATCGGACAAATACTTAATTGACTTCAAGGAGATCGATCAATTTAGATAATAGAAATCCCTGTCCTCTCATCAGGTTTAAAGAGCAGACAAGCGATTACAATAGACAACCTTGTTTCATCCACCCAACAGGCCTCACCTAGCACTTTTACCTGTTTGGGCCCATGAGGGGAAACTTGAAGGACAACGATTCTCCAATAATAATAGTCGTTGCAAAGAAGCAAATCGCACATGGCTAAGAATGCCCACAGTAAACTATAAAGCGTGTATGAGGATATATGCCCTTATTCAAATCGGTGGAATACCACGATAGAGAAGAAAGAAAAATATGTTGGAGAGGATTACATTTTGAATCCTGCAAAAAAAAAAAAAAAAAAAAGAAAAGAAAAAGAAAAAAAAGAAGACATTCATTATCTGCATAATTCCAAAGAGAGTTTAATTCCTGTCCATGACAATCTTTCCAAGTACCAGAGATCTTAATTAAATTTGTTGATATTAAAAAAACAACAAAAAAAAACAAAAACAAAAAAAAACAAAAACAAAAAAAACCCCTAACCCCAAAAAAAAAACAAAAACAAAAACAAAAAAAAACAAAAAAAAAACAATACTCTTTGAACGACCCTCGTGTATAGGTCACCAAGTTTTATATATGCGGACATTTAATTTAAAAAAAAAATATATTTCACTCCAAGTCAGGCGCCAGGCGATAACCGCCCCCTCCCAAACCAAAAAAGACAAAACAAACAGTAAGACGTATGGATTTGTTTTGTTTTGTTTTACGGCATATCAACCACAATTGGTTATTTAATGCCGACAAAATCCCCACACTTTTTCTTTTTTTTTTTTAAATGTATAGTTTGTTTTGTTTTGTGGCATATTAACCTCAATAGGTTATTTAATGCCGACAAGATTTTTATTTCTGGTAATATTTTCTTTATTCAAATATTTATTGCTGATACTAATTTTTTTAAAAAGTATTTCTGGTATTAAAATATATTTTTTACACTTTCATATTGTTTTGAGTTAGGTTGTGGGGTCAACTATTTGCCCATAGCTGAGACCCTAACACGTGCTACCACCCCGGGTCAGAGTGGACCTGGGAACACCATTAATTAAGAGGTGGTTCCACGCTCCTCAAAACCTCCTGATCTGAGGCCTTGTAGCTGGACGTAGTTTATCGTCTTACCCAGGACGCGGATGCAGTTTATCATCATACCCAAGACGCTAAGACGTATGGAGTTACATGCAAGGAAAGAATCCGAGAAAAGTAATTATTTCAGGCGAAAGAACTAATGCCAAGGAGACGGAAGATGACAATTGATATTGTATTTAAATCTTTAAAGATCCAAGTTGTCAGGAAAGCAAGAAGCCGAAAGAGATCCACACAAGCGAGAAGTGTGACAGAAGAAATTATTAGCATAGAACTTATGATTACATCTAGCAATTTTCAACTGTAAAATGACGTGACCTGACTGACAATATAATACTGCGCAAAGTCAATCTACCTAAGGAAAACTCATCAGAACAGTTAACATAAAAATAATATAAAAAGCAGAAGAAAGCTACGTTATGGCGTTGGGAAAGTGATAGAAATAGAGGTGCCAGTTCAGGACCAATAACATTGCATATTTATCTTCGTATTTTCTCATGGATTAGATACACAGCATTCTATATATACACAATAAACGTATAATCGATTGCTTTCACTGAAGAGGAGTTGCCCATTAATTAATTACGAAGTTCGTCTCTATCGTTCATTTTATTCATTACCATGTTTTTCGTGACAGTTATTCATCTTGGGTAAATTTGATTCATTTTTTTATGGTTTATCAACCTTTTGCAGGTTATTTAAAGCCATAAAATATTTTTACATTGTAATAATGTTTTGGTGATAATGATTTAATGATACTCCAACTGATTAACTCATAGCCGTGGGAGAATAAGTGGATTCATACTTTTCCTAAGGGTATATGCGCGTAAGTGAAAGTAACGAACCCGACTGGAATTGGAACTCAGCTATCATATTTCCAATTCCGAGCCCTTATCCATTACATCACCTACTATCCTAAAGCGGTTACCCATTTAGCTATTGGCCAGGCTTGACGTTACTTAACTTCGGTGATCGTACAAGAACTGGTGTTCCAACGTGATATCGCCGTAAGCCTATTCGTTAAGTTACAGCCACTAAAACCAGGTGAGATGACACAAAAACAGTGATAATTAAAGACATGAAAAGTTAAACGTTTATTACTTTTTTATTTTGTTAAAAAACCAAAAAACCCCCAAAAAACAAAAAAAAACCTGCGAAATATTTTAAGGTGTAACAGATGAAAAGGGTTCAAGTGTGTGACTTTGTGTCATTTACTTGAACTTGCACTAACGAGCCACGGTTTGCCACCTTTTCATCGGAAATTGAGGTTTCTTTTTCTTCGATGCTCTTCTGGCAAATGGACTCTCGTGTATAACGGACAGATAAAGAAAGAAAGAAAGAAAAAAAGAAAAAAAAGAAGAAAAAACAAAATAAGAATAAGAAAGGAAGCATATTCCCAACTGGCGTAGACTTTGCCTAACAAATAACGCATCGAATAAATTAAATTTATACCTGTTTTATATAAGAAATCATAAATCATTAGATTTAC